GTTGTAGACAGCGCCCTCTGTGGACACTGTCGGACCTGCAGGCTGAAGCGCTGCTCTTCGATGTGCGGCAGAGTTATGGAGTAATAATCTTCGGCCGTCTCCTCCAGCAGAAAACTCTCCTGACGCTGGTATTTCTGGACGTGTTTCTGCGTGGCCGGACACACCACCGTCGTCTTGATCTCTGAGAATTAAAAAAGAAAAAGATTAAAATCACAACACTAAAAATTTTTATTAAAAAAAAGATGAATGTTAATGAAACTGTTAATGTTAAATGTAGAAAAAGACAAAGATGGTCTTGATTTGGTCTCGATGGGCCGTGGTCTTGGTTTTGTCTCGGTCTCGATCTTTAAAAGTCTCAGTCTTGACCTGTAAAAGTGTCGGTCTTTTCTCAACCTTTAAAAGTCTCGGTCTTGTCTCGGTCTCGACCCTCAGAGGTCTTGGCCTTGACTGTAGACCCTGTGGTTTCAGTCTTGTCTCGGTCTTGTTTCAGTCTCGACCTGTTTCATCTCAAATTCGACCCTCAGAGGTCTCGGTCTTGTCTCGGTCTTGTCTCGGTTGTCTCGGTCTTGTCTCGGTCTTGTCTCGGTCTCGACCTTTAAAAGTCTTGGTCTCGTCTCGGTCTCGTCTCGGTCTCGGTCTTCTCGGTCTTGGGGTCTCGGTCTTCTCTCGGTTTGTCTCGGTCTTGTCTCGGACTTGTCTCGGTCTTGTCTCGGTCTTGTCTCGTCTTCTCGGTCTTGTCTCGGTCTTGTCTCGGACTTGTCTCAGTCTTGTTTCGGTCTTGTCTCGGTCTTGTCTCGGTCTTGTCTCGGTCTTGTCTCGGTCTCGACCTTTAAAAGTCTCCGGTCTTGTCTCGATCTCGACCCTCAGCGGTCTTGGACTCGTCTCTGGACCCCGTGGTCTCGTCTCGGTCTCTTCTCAGTCTCATCTCAGTCTCGTTTCGGGTTCGACCCTCAGCGGTCTCGGTCTCGTCTCTGGACCCTGTGTTCTCGGATCGGTCTTGGTCCAACGGTCTCATGCGGTCTTGTCAGTCTCGGTCCGTGCGGTCTCGGTCTCCGTCTGTGCGGTCCTCGGTCTCGTCGTCTCGGTCTCTGTGCGGTCTCGGTCTGGTGCGGTCTGGTGCGGTCTCGGTCTCGGTCTGGTGGTCTCTCGGTCTGGTGCGGTCTAGGTCGGTGGTCTCGGTCTGGTGCGGTCTCGGTCTGGTGCGGTCTCGGTCTGGTGCGGTCTCGTGCGGTCTAGGTCTCGGTCTGGTGCGGTCTCGTCTGGTGCGGTCTCGGTCTGGTGCGGTCTCGGTCTGGTGCTCGGTGTGGTCTATCTGGTCTCCGTCTGTGCGGTCTTCGGTCTCGTCTGGTGCGGTCTCGGTCTGGTCTCGGTCTGGTGGGTCTGGTCTGGTCTGTGGTCTGGTCTCGGTCTGGTGCGGTCTAGTCTCGGTCTGGTCCGGTTCGGTCTAGGTCTCGTGTTCCGTCTGTGCGGTCGGTCTCGGTCTGGTGCGGTCTCGGTCTGGTCTGGTGCTGTGTCTCGGTCTGGTGCGGTTCCGGTGCTTCGGTCTCTCTCGGTCTCGGTCTGGTCTCGGGTCTGGGTCTGGTGCGGTCTCGGTCTCGGTCTCTCTTGCGGTCTCGGTCTGGTGCGGTCTCGGTCTGTGCGGTCTCGGTCTCCCTCTGTGTCTCTGGTCTCTGGTGCGGTCTCGGTCTCTCGGTCTCGGTCTCGGTCTCGGGTCTTTGGTCGGTCTCGGTCTCGGTCTGGTCTCGTCTGGTTCGGTCGGTCTCGGTCTCGGTCTCGGTCTGGTGCGGTCCGGAGCGTGTTCCGGTGCGGTCGTCGTGGTTACCGTTGAGGCGGGCGGGCGCCTGCAGCTGGTACGTGCTGTAGATGTCGTTCTTCATCTGGAGACTGAGTTTGGACTCGGAGAAGATCTGGGACAGGACTTCCCTCTGGATCGGGGTCTTCTCCAGGATCACCACGGCGTCCTGACCGGAAATCTGCACACGGGAACGGACCGGGAATAAAACAACAACAAACAACAACCAACAAACAACAACAAACAACAACAAACTGTCCCACACACATCTGGAACACAGGAGTTCTTCTGTTTTTAGTCAGTCCTGGTTTAGTTCTGGGTCTTGATCCTTTCTTAAACTTCACTAATCTTCACATAATACTTTTTTTTTTTTTTTTTTGCCAAATACAAACTGTTCCACATCTGACATTAAAACGTATAGAAAACATAGAATAACAGCTGATTTTCACATTTCTTGGTCTACTTAAAAGTGGAATATGCATCTTAAAAAAAAAATGCATAAAAAAAATACATAAATAATAATAATTTAAAAAAAAAATTGTCTTTTTATTTATAAGAAGATAAACAGGGACAAAAATAAAAATACTGGAGCTTTAATTTAACGGCAGACAGGACAGGACACCCACAATAAAGACATTACAGCACTTATTTTTAAAGTAAAGCTGCACTATGTAACTTTTTTGACAGAGGTTCTGCTATGTGCTTGTCTCCATGGAGATGCTATGGCTTTGTTCCAAGGCCTTAAACGTTATTTATCTCCATACAGACGAGTTACAGGTCAGATCTACGGAGAGACAAGCCCATAAACAGTAAGAATACGTGTTTTTTTTAAATGTATTCTGCGCAAATAACAACACGTGTAATTAAATAAATGCAAGATAAAAGTTTAAATTAGGATGAGCAGATTTTCAAAAGTAAAAACCGGGATGTTTGGTGTAAATAAAATCGTGATAAAAGTTTGTAGTTTTGTCCTCGACTCACGTGAATAAAATCTGACACGAAATACAGAAAATACAAACACATGAAATTTATGAAACTCTGAATTAGACCTGGTTTAGTCCTGAAATAGTCCTGGCTTAGACCTGGTTTAGATCTGGTTTAGACCTGGTTTCAGACCTGGTTTAGACCTGGTTTAGTCCTAGTTTAGACCTGGTTTATAGACTGGTTTAGACCTGGTTTAGTCCTAGTTTAGACCTGGTTTAAATCTGGTTTAGACCTGGTTTAGGCCTGAAATAGTCCTGGTTTAGTCCCAGTTTAGACTTGATATAGTCCTGGTTGAGACCTGCTGTAGATCTGGTTTAGACCTGGTTTAGACCTGAAATAGACCTGATATAGTCCTATTTTAGGCCTAGTTTAGTCCTGGTTTAAAAACTGATATAGTCCTATTTTAGCCCAAGTTTAGACCTGGTTTAGTCCTTGTTTAGACCTGGTTTAGTCCTGGTTTAGATCTGGTTTAGGTCCTGGTTTAGATCTGGTTTAGTCCTGGTTTAGTCTGGTTAGTCCTGGTTTTTAGACCTGGTTTAGACCTGGTTTAGTCCTGGTTTAGACCTGGTTTAGTCCTGTTTAGCTCCTGGTTTAGTCCTGGATTAGACCTGGTTTAGCCCTAGTTTAGACCTGAAATAGATCTGATATAGTCCTATTTTAGTTTAGTCCTGATTTAGTCCTGGTTTAGTCCAGGTTTAGACCTGGATTAGACCTGGTTTAGTTCTGGTTTAGACCTGGTTTAGTTCTGGTTTAGACCTGGTTTAGTCCTGGTTTAGTTTTACTGGTTTTTAGACATGGTTTAGTCCGGGTTTAGTCCTGGTTTAGACCTGGTTTAGTCCGGGTTTAGACCTGGTTTAGACCTGGTTTAGTCCTGGTTTAGTCCTGGTTTAGACCAAATTGGTCTAAAATAGTGACATCTGGGACATTATATAAATTGAGACAAATCAATAGTTTTGTATAAATCTTCTGGGAGACACAGACTCAAACTGGGACCGAGGAAACAGGGACGTCTGGTCTGGATCTCCCTGTACAAGTTTAAAACCCTATTGCGGAACATTTCTGGCAAAACAGTAACATCTTCATAAATAAAAGCAGGTGGCGTGCTCTCCTCCGGAAAAGTTACACTGTGCAGCTTTAATAATTAAAAAAAATAAATGAATGAATAAATGAATGAACCTTTCCGTGCACGAAGATGGTTTGATGAGAGAAGAGAAAGAAGAGAGAGAGAGAAGCTTTAATAATAAAAAAAAATAAATAAATGAATGAATGAACCTTTCCGTGCACGAAGATGGTTTTCTCTCGCGCGGACTCGCTCAAAACTGCTGATGTTTCGAACTTTGAGAGAATATTCCCGGTGTCGTCCGTGTCCTCTGTGTGTTTTTGTTCCTCTTTTCCATTTTCACTCTCCGGATCCGCTCTGGATTTCTTTATTTGAGGAGAAAACTCTTTTGTTTCTGTCTCTTCCAGTTCACGTTTAGCGCCGGAGTCCGCCATTTTGTTTGTTTTGGTGTTTGTTCGGGGTTGCCAGATCAGAAAGACGTTTTACAGCAACAGAGCGGCGGACTCAAGTGTGACGAGACCAACGAAAGAAAGAAAGAAGAGAGAGAGAGAGGAGAGAAGAGAAGAGAAAGAAAGAGAGAGAGAGAGAGGAGGAGAGAGAGAGAGAGAGAAGAAGAGAAGAGAAGAGAGAAGAGAGAGAAGAGAGAGAGAGAAGAGAGAGAGAGAGAGAGAAGAGAGAGAGAGAGAGAAGAGAAAGAGAAAGAAGAAGAGAGAGAGAGAGAGAGAAAGAAGAGAGAGAGAGAGAGAGAAGAAGAGAGAGAAGAAAGGAGAAAAGAAGAGAGAGAGAGAAAGAGAGAAGAGAGAGAAAGAACAGAAGAGAGAGAGAAGAGAAGAGAGAGAGAGAAGAGAAGAAGAGAGAGAAGAGAAGAGGAGAGAGAGAAGAGAGAGAGAGAGAAAGAGAGAGAAGAGAAAGAAAGAAGAGAGAGAGAGAAGAGAAAGAAAGAAGAGAGAGGGAGAGAAGAGAAGAGAAAGAGAGAGAGAGGAAAGAAGAGGAGAAAGAGAAGAAGAGGAGAGAGAGAGAGAGAGGAGAAGAAGAGAGAGGAGAGAAGAGAGAAGAAGAAGAGAGGAGAGGAGAGAAGAGAAGAGAAAGAAGAGAGAGAAGAGAGAAGAGAAAGAAAGAAAGAAGAGAGAGAAGAGAAAGAAAGAGAAGAGAGAAAGAAGAGAGAGAGAAGAGAAAGAAAGAAGAGAGAGGAGAGAGAGAAGAGAAAGAAGGGAGAGGAGAGAAGAGAAAGAAGAGCGAGAAGAGAGAAGAGAGAGAGGAGAGAGAGAAGAAGAAGAGAAGAGAAGAGAAGAAGAGAGAGAAGAGAAGAGAAAGAAAGAGAGAGAGAGAGAGAGAAGAGAAGAGAGAGAGAGAGAGGAGAGAGAGAGAGAAGAGAGAAAGAGAAGAGAAAGAGAGAGAGAGAGAGAGAAGAGAGAGAGAAGAGAGAGAGAGAAAGAGAGAGAAGAGAAGAGAGAGAGAGGGAGAGAGAGAGAGAGAAGAGAGAGAAAGAAGGAGAGAGAGAAGAGAGAGAAGAAAGAGAGAGAGAGAGAGAGAGAGAAAGAGAGAGAGAGAGAGAAGAGAGAGAGAAAGAAAGAAAGAGAGAGAGAGAGAGAGAAGAGAGAGAGAAGAGAAGAAGAGAAAGAAGAAGAGGAGAGAAGAGAAGAAAGAAGAGAGAGAGAGAGAGAGGAGAAGAAAAGAAAGAAGAGAGAAGAGAGAGAGAGAGAGAGAAGAAAGAAGAGAGAAGAGAAAAGAGAAGAGAGAGAGAAGAGAAAGAAAGAAGAGAGAGGAGAGAAGAGAAAGAAAGAAGAGAAGAGAAGAGAGAAGAGAAGAGAAGAGAAAGAGAGAGAGAGAGAGAGAGAGAGAAAGAGAAAGAAGAGAGAGAGGAGAGAAAGAGAAAGAAGAAAGAAGAGAGAGAGAGAGAGAGAAAGAAAGAAGAGAGAGGAGAGGAGAGAAGAGAAAGAAAGAAGAGAGAGGAGAGAAGAGAAAGAAAGAAGAGAGAGGAGAGAAGAGAAGAGAAGAGAAAGAAAGAAGAGCGAGAAGAGAAGGAGAGAGAGAGGAGAGAAGAGAAAGAAGAGAGAGAGAAGAGAAGAGAAAGAAGAGAGAGAGAGAAGAGTAGAGAAGAGAAGGAGGGTATAAAAAGAAGGAGCAGAGTGGGAAAGAGGAGGAGGAGATGAGGAGAGAGCGGGGGAAGAGAGAGAGAGAAAGAAGACAGAAAGAAGGAGGAGAGAGTGAGAAGGAGGGAGAGAGAAGAAGAAAGAGAGAGAAGGAAGAGAGAGAGAGAGAAGAAGAAAGAGAGAGAGAGAGAGAGAGAGAAAAGGAGGCGAGAGAGAGTGAGAGAGATAGAGGAGGGTGGGAGAGAGAAGAGAAGGAGGAGAGAGAGGAGAGAGAGATAGAAGGAAGAGATAGGGCGACAGAGAAAGAGGATAGAGAGAAGTGAGAGAGAGAAGGAGGAGAGAGAGAGGAGGAGCAAGGAAGAGAGGGAAAAGGAGGAGAGAGAGAGAAAAAAGGAGAGGGAGAAAGAGGGAGGAAAGAGAGAGAGAAGGCACGATCAGAACAGAACCAGCAGCTAAAAAAAATAATAAAATTTGCTTTAACTGACAGTATAATTTGTATTTATATATTTATGTAACTAAATTAACTAAAAATACAAATAACACGTTTTCTGTAAATTAAAATACAAATCTGGCAACGCTGACTACAAAGATCTTTAAGGTTTACAGATGTGTCACACCTTTAAAGTTTTGTTACCTTGAAATTAAAGTTTAAATTGGTGATGTGTTGCAAAAATACTTTTCGGTGTTAAAGATGATTTTTATTTTATTATTTTTATTTTATTTACAGCACCGTTTCATTAGATCAATACGTGAATCAACGGTCTTTATTTTAACAAAGTGGGGCGTCTTACCTACCACATCATGATCACTGCAAAACGAGCCAAATTTACGGTAATATAATTAAACTAATACGTTAAACTAATAAAACAACTAAACTAATTGCTTAAACGGCCAATAAAACCAAAGTACCGCGTAATAAGATTAATTTAATTTAATTTAATAGTTAGGAGGCGGGGCCAGTGAGGAAGGGACCAATGAAATCACCGAAAACGGCAAAACGTCACAACCAGGAAATGATTTAAGGTAAACAAACCCACCGGGGGAAAAAAAAAAAAAAAAAAAAAAAGCCCACTTCTGATTTTTCTTCTGATTTAACGAAAATGTGAAGTTAAATTTAAGTTTTACGTGATTATTTTGTGGGAGAATGGACCAAAAAAGCGTAATGTTACTTCAGCTGTTGAGTTTGACGCTGCTTCCGGTGGGCACGAGCGAAGGTGAAGTTTGTTTTGATTTTGTGAAATGTACAAACATTGAAAAAAAAAATATATATAGTGACCAGATTCTCGAAATTCTAAACTAGTTCAGTCCCGGGTTTGGGTGTTGGTGTAAATAAAATAAAAATAGATTCATTTGTCCCAGTTTTACACAAGAAATGTCGCAGGTGTCACTAATTTTTGACCGACCTGAACTAAACCAGGACTAAACCAGGACTAAACCAGGACTAAACCAGGTCTAAACCAGGTCTAAACCAGGTCTATTTCAGGTCTATTTCAGGTCTATTTCAGGTCTATTTCAGGTCTATTTCAGGACTATTTCAGGTCTAAACCAGGTCTAAACCAGGACTATTCAGGTCTAAATCAGGGCTAAACAAGGTCTAAACTTAAGCTAACCAGGACTAAAACAAGACTATTTCAGGTCTAAACCAGGTCTATTTCAGGTCTATTTCAGGTCTATTTCAGGTCTATTTCAGGTCTATTTCAGGTCTATTTCAGGTCTAAACCAGGACTAAACCAGGTCTAAACCAGGACTATTTCAGGTCTAAATCAGGGCTAAACAAGGTCTAAACTTAAGCTAAACCAGGACTAAAACGAGACTATTTCAGGTCTAAACCAGGACTAAACCAGGACTGAACCAGAACTATTTCAGGTCTAAACCAGGACCAAACTAGGACTAAATTAGAACTTTGCCAGGTCTAAACCAGGTCTAAACTAGAGCTAAACAAGGTCTAAATCAGGACTAAACCAGATCTTAACCAGGACTAACCCAGGACTATTTCAGGTCTAAAGTAGGGCTAAACCAGGACTAAAACAAGACTATTTCAGGACTATTTCAGACTAAACCAGGACTATTTCAGGTCTAAATCAGGGCTAAACAAGGTCTAAACTAAAGCTAAACCAGGACTTAAACGAGTCTATTTCAGGTCTAAACCAGGACTAAACTAGGGCTAAACAGAACTATATCAGCTCTAAACCAAACCTGAAAACACAATAATCCTCAAATATAAATATTTTCACTTAGATTTTATCACATTTGTTTCTCAGTTTAACCCGTTTTACTTTCAGACCCGCGGCGTAACGTGCTCTTCATCATCTCGGACGACTTGAGGACGTCGTTGGGTTGCTACGGCGACGCTGTGGTCAGATCTCCGAACATCGACCAGCTCGCCTCGCACAGCCACGTGTTCCTCAACGCCTACGCACAGGTCTGACCGAGAACCGAACCCGTACTTACTGAAAAACTTACTTTACTAAACACAAAATCTGGAAATTAAAAAAAAAAAGTTTTGCAGTGTTTAAATAAGTTTAGTCTGGGTTTAGTCCTGGTTTAGTCCATGTTCAGTCTTGGTTTAGTCCTGGTTTAGTCCTGGTTTAGTCCTGGTTTAGTCCTGGTTTAGTCCTGGTTTAGTCCCGGTTTTGTCCTGGTTTAGTCCTGATCTATTCTTGGTTTAGTCCTGCTTTATTTCTGGTTTTGTCTTTGTTTTAGTCTTGGTCTAGTCTTGGTTTTAGTCCTGGTTTAGTCTTGGTTTAGTCCTGATCTAGTCTTGGTTTAGTCCTGGTTTAGTCCTGGTTTTAGTCCTGGTTTTGTCCTGGTTTTAGTCCTGGTTTAGTCCTGGTTTAGTCCTGGTTTAGTCCTGGTCTAGTCTTGGTTTAGTCCTGGTTTAGTCCTGGTTAGTCTTGGTTTTAGTCCTGGTCTTAGACCTGGTTTAGTCCTGGTTTTAGTCCTGGTTAGTCTTGGTTTTAGTACTGGTTTAGTCCTGTTTTAGTCCTGGTTTTAGTCCTGGTTTAGTCCTGGTTTAGTCCTGGTTTTAGTCCTGGTTTTAGTCCTGTCCTGGTTTTAGTCCTGGTTTGGTTTTTAGTCCTGGTTTAGTCCTGGTTTTAGTCCTGGTTTAGTCCTGGTTTTGTTGGTTTTAGTCCTGGTTTTAGTCCTGGTTTTTAGTCCTGGCTTTAGTCCTGGTTTAGTCCTGGTTTTAGTCCTGGTTAAGTCCTGGTTTAGTCCTGGTTTAGTCCTGGTTTTAGTCCTGGTTTTAGTCCTGGTCTTAGACCTGGTTTAGTCCTGGTTTAGTCCTGGTTTAGTCCTGTTTTAGTCCTGGTTTTAGTCCTGGTTTAGTCTTGGTTTAGTCCTGGTTTAGTCCTGGTTAGTCTTGGTTTTAGTCCTGGTTTTAGTCCTGGTCTTAGTCCTGGTTTTAGTCCTGGTTTTAGTCCTGGTTTTAGTCCTGGTTTTAGTCCTGGTTTAGTCCTGTTTTAGTCCTGGTTTAGTCCTGGTTTAGTCCTGGTTTTAGTCCTGGTTTAGTCCTGGTTTAGTTAGTCCTGGTTTTAGTCCTGGTTTTAGTCCTGGTTTAGTCCTGGTTTTAGTCCTGGTTTTAGTCCTGGTTTAGTCCTGGTTTTAGTCTGGTTTTGGTTTTAGTCCTGGTTTTAGTCCTGGTTTTAGTCCTGGTTTAGTCCTGGTTTTAGTCCTGGTTTAGTCCTGGTTAGTCTTGGTTTTAGTCCTGGTTTTAGTCCTGGTTTAGTCCTGGTTTTAGTCCTGGTTTAGTCCTGGTTTAGTTCCCGTTTAGTCTTAAATCCTTCTTTTTAGTGCAGTTTTACGTGTTTCTGTTTCAGACTCGTTTTTATTTATTTTATTTTTTTCTGGTTCTGGTCCCGGTTCTAGTCCCGGTCTAGTCTCGTGCGTAACGTTCCCGTTCCGTTTCCCGCAGCAGGCCGTGTGCGCTCCGAGCCGGACGTCCCTCCTGACGAGCCGCCGCCCGGACACGACCAGACTCTACGACTTCAACTCGTACTGGAGGAAACAGGCCGGGAACTACAGCTCCCTGCCCCAGTACCACAAGGAGCACGGCTACCAGACCAGGTCCTACGGCAAAGTCTTCCACCAGGGTGAGAGGCCGAGGGAGGGAGGGACGCCTGACACGGGCCTGGTCCGGTCCTGGTCTGGTCCTGGTCCGGTCCTGGTCTAGTCCTGGTCTAGTCCTGGTTTAATCGCTGGTTTAGATCAAATTTTGGTCCATGTTTTTTTTTTTTTTTATTGTATGCCAGATTTACTCCTGGTTTAGTCCTGGTCTAGTCCTGGTCTAGTCCTGGTCCAGTCCTGGTCTAGTCCTGGTCTAGTCCTGGTCTAGTCCTGGTCTAGTCCTGGTCTAGTCCTGGTCTAGTCCTGGTCCAGTCCTGGTCCAGTCCTGGTCTAGTCCTGGTCCAGTCCTGGTCTAATCCTGGTATAGTCCTGGTCTAGTCCTGGTCTAGTCCTGGTCTAGTCCTGGTCTAATCCTGGTCTAGTCCTGGTCCAGTCCTGGTCTAGTCCTGGTCTAGTCCTGGTCCAGTCCTGGTCTAATCCTGGTCTAATCCTGGTCTAATCCTGGTCTAGTCCTGGTCTAGTCCTGGTCTAGTCCTGGTCTAGTCCTGGTCCAGTCCTGGTCCAGTCCTGGTCTAATCCTGGTCCAGTCCTGGTCCAGTCCTGGTCCAGTCCTGGTCTAGTCCTGGTCTAGTCCTGGTCTAGTCCTGGTCTAGTCCTGGGTCCAGTCCTGGTCTAGTCCTGGTCTAGTCCTGGTCCAGTCCTGGTTTAGTCCTGGTCCTCCTGTCTAGTCCTGGTCTAGTCCTGGTTTAGTCCTGGTCTAGTCCTGGTCTAGTCCTGTCTAGTCCTGGTCTAGTCCTGGTCTAGTCCTGGTTTAGTCCTGGTCTAGTCCTGGTCTAGTCCTGGTCTGGTCCTAGTCCTGGTCTAGTCCTGGTCTAGTCCTGGTCCAGTCCTGAGTTTTATTCCTGGTCTAGTCCTGGTCTAGATCAAATTTTGGTCCATGTTTTTTTTTTTTTTAATTGTACGCCAGATTTACTCCTGATTTAGTCCTGGTTTAGTTCTTGATTTTGTTCTTGTTTAGTCCTGATTTAATCCTGATTTAGTCCTGGTTTAGCCCTGGTCTATTTCTGGTTTTGTTCCTGGTTTAGTCCCTAATTTAGTCCTGGTTTAATTGCTGGTTTTTAGATCAAATTTTTGGTCCATGTTTTTTTTTAATTTTTTATTGTATGCCAGATTTACTCCTGGTTTAGTCCCTGGTTTAGTCCCTGGTGTAGACCTGATTTAGTCCTGGTTTAGTTCTTGATTTTGTTCTGGTTTAGTCCTGGATTAGTCCCCATCTGAGTCGCTGGTCTAGTCCTGGTCTAGTTCTGGTTTTGTCCTGATTTAGTCCTGGTTTAGTCCTGGTTTGGTCCTGGTTTAGGTCTTGGTTTTGTTCTGGTTTAGTCTTGGATTAGTCCTGGTTTATTCCTGGTTTAGTCCTGGTTTAGTCCTGGTTTAGTTCTTGATTTTGTCCTGATTTAGTCCTGGTTTAGTCCTGGTTTGGTCCTGGTTTAGTTCTTGGTTTTGTTCTGGTTTAGTCCTGGATTAGTCCTGGTTTAGATCTAATTTAATCCTGATTTAGTCTTGGTTTAGTCCTGGTTTAGTTCTTGGTTTAGTCCCTGGTTTAGCCTAGTTTAATCCCTGGTTTAGTCCTGTTTTAGACCTGGTTTAGACCTGGTTTAGACCTGGTTTAGACCTGGTTTAGTCCTTGGTTTAGTTCTGGTTTAGTTCTGGTTTAGTCCTGGTTTAGTCCTGGTTTAGTCCTGGTTTAGTCCTGGTTTGGTTTGGTCCTGGTTTACTCCTGGTTTACTCCTGGTTTAGTACTGATTTAGTCCTGGTGTAGTCCTGGTGTAGTCCTGGTTTAGTCCTGGTCTAGTGTTGTTGGTTTAGACCTGGTTTAGTCCTGGTTTAGACCTGGTTTAGTCCTGGTTTAGACCTGGTTTAGACCTGGTTTAGACCTGGTTTAGTCCTGGTTCAGTCCTGTTTCAGACGAGGGGAGGGCATCTGACACAATCTGACTCTGTGTTGTTGTTGTTTAATTCAGGCATCGCTTCAAATCACACAGACGACTTCCCGTTGAGCTGGACTGTCCCTGTGTTTCACCCAGAATCACTTTACTACGAGAAGAAGAAGGTACGAAGAAGAATGTATGAAAACTGAACGGAGGAGAGGAGGAGAGGAGAGAGGAGGAGAGAGGAGGAGAGGAGAGAGAAGGAGGAGGAGAGGAGGAGAGGAGAGGAGAGGAGAGAGGAGGAGAGGAGGAGGAGGAGAGGAGGAGAGGAGGAGGGAGAGAGGAGAGGAGGAGAGGAGAGGAGGAGAAGGAGAAGGAGGAGAAGAGAAGAAAGGAGAGAGGAGAGAGGAGAGAGGAGAGGAGGAGAGGAGAGAGAGAGGGAGGAGGGGAGGAGAGAGGAGAGGAGGAGAGAGGAGAGAGAGAGAGAGAGAGAGAGAGAGAGAGGAGAGGAGCAGAGGAGAGGAGGAGGAGGAGGAGAGAGAGGAGGGAGAGAGGAGGAGAGAGAGGAGAGGAGGAGGAGGAGAAGAGAAGAGGAGAGAGAGGAAGAGGAGGAGGAGGAGGAGGAGGAGAGGAGAGAGGAGGGAGGAGGGAGGAGGAGGAGAGGAGAGAGGAGGAGGAGAGAGAGAGGGAGGGGAGGAGGAGAGAGGAGAGAGGAGGAGGAGGAGGAGAGGAGAGAGGAGGAGGAGGAGAGAGGAGGAGGAGAGGAGAGGAGGAGGAGGAGAGAGAGGAGAGAGAGGAGGAGAGGAGGAGAGAGAGGAGAGGAGAGGAAGGAGGAGAGAGGACAGGAGGAGGAGAAAGGAGAGAGGAGAGGAGGAGGAGAGGAGAGGAGGAGAGGAGAGGAGAGGAGGAGGAGAAGGAGGAGAGAGAGAAGAGAGGAGAGAGGAGAGAGGAGAGGAGAGGAGAAAGGAGAGAGGAGGAGGAGAGAGGAGGAGGAGGAGAGGAAGAGGAGAGGAGAGGTTCAGATGGTTCAGTTGGCAGTAGTACCTGTAGATGTGTGGATACAGTGTTTTCTTTAGCTCCATCTGGTGGTGTAAAAATGAACTGCAGAAACACTGAACAGGAATGAACGAAGTGACCAAGAAGATGACACAGTCTCATCAAAACAAACCACAACCTTTGTACAACAAAGTCGAGAAACACACGACACGCGACGAGACGTGAAAATAAAAGTAAAATAAAATGAAAGTCAAATAAAAGTCAAATAAAACAGTTTTTGAGTAAATCTGTAGTGAGCTCCACTTGGGACTGAATAAAACGAGCCGCCTCAGGTCCCGACCTGAGACTCATCAAACGATACAGTCTGGTCCCTCTGGTCGTGACAGTCTGGTCCCTCTGGTCGTGACAGTCTCGTCCTTCAGGTCATGACGGTCCGGCCCCTCTGGTCGTGACGGTCTCGTCCTTCAGGTCGTGACAGTCTGGTCCTTCAGGTCGTGACAGCCTGGTCCTTCAGGTCGTGACGGTCCGGTCCCTCAGGTCGTGACGGTCCGGTCCCTTAGGTCGTGACGGTCCGGTCCCTCAGGTCGTGACTGTCCGGTCCCTCAGGTCGTGATGGTCTGGTCCTTCAGGTCATGACAGGCTGGTCTAGTCTGGTCCTTCAGGTCGTGACGGTCTGATCCCTCAGGTCGTGACGGTCTGATCCCTCAGGTCGTGACGGTCTGGTCCTTCAGGTCATGACAGTCTGGTCCTTCAGTTCGTGACAGTCTGGTCCTTCAGGTCGTGACAGTCTGGTCCTTCAGGTCGTGACAGTCTGGTCCTTCGGGTCGTGATTAGAGCCCGACCGATGTATCGGCTTGCCGATATGGGCACATAGAGACATATCGGCTATCGGCCGATATGCTTGCTGATATGGGCCGATATTTCACGTGGGCATGTTATACCTCGTTATAAAGCTTAGACTCTCTACATTCTGTTCATTTAATCCAATTTACAGACAGATAAATGTCCTAATGTGTGGCTCCACATCAGTATTTATCTGCGGTGTAATTTGTCTGTGTGTGTCGTACTGTCCCTGAACACACCACAGAGTCACCTCACTTCACTCACGTGTGTTTGTTTACACTGCAGCTGTGCGCAACACTGAGATTATTTTCTTTTTTCGGACAATCGGTTTGAGTCTGGATTAAAAGGACATTTATTAGTGCAGATTTGTGATGTGGGAGGAGCCTGTGTGAGCGGTGAGTGTTGGAAATATGTCGACTCTGAAGCTAGTTTAGGTTTTGTTAGCGATTAGCTGCTGTAGCTCCTGCACATAAACAGACTGTTTTCTATTGGTCTATTGTAAAGTGATTATATTGGCCGTATATTTGTTACTGGACCAACACTGATGTAAATGAGCTGTGAATAGACGTGTGAATGATCCACATTTATGCATATAATTAACTACCGCGGCGCGCACGTTTTTACGGCTAAAGGCTAATAGCGGTAGTTTCTTTTCTAGCTAGGAGTTATGGGTCGCGATCGAAGCGGCTCTTAGATGCGGCTCTTTGAAGCGAACAACGGGAGCATGTTTCTTATTGGGAGCCGTGTTTTCTCTTTTTCTCACTTTTTCTCTTCATGCCGCTTGTAGACCCGTAGTTTGACAGCAGCAGCGGCTGAAAACGAAACTTTCAGTAATCTGCGTGTGCATAGGGGGAAAAAAAAGTGCATATTTGGCTGCAGTTGAGCATAAAATGAATCAAGGCAAGGCAAGTGTAGTTGTACAGCACAATTCATACACAAAGTAATTCAAAGTGCTTTACAGAATAAGAAATGCATTAAAATCATAATAAAAACAAATCAAAACATAAATAATCAGGACTAATCTTGGGCTGGAGTGAAGGAGAGAGATAGAAACCGAGTCCCGACACTCAGTCCTGGTTCAGTTCTGGTTTAGTCCTGCTTGCAACAAAACAATGTCAAGAGTCGCTTGGGACCCTGAAAGAGCCAGCTGCTTTAGTGAGCCGAGCCAAAAGAGCCTTTTCTCCAAAAAAAAACAAAAACTAGAATCCCCATCACTAGTGTCTAGAATGTGATGCAAAAATGCCATTAGGCCAAACTACTGTCTGTAAATATGATGTAAAGAGTCAAAATAACAATAAATGTTTCCTAAATAAACCCAATTTAGAATCAACTAGAGCCAAACCTAAGTTTTTTAAACAATTCAAAATTTACAGTGAATTTTTACATCACTAAATATATCGCCGATTATATCGGCAGCGCCAACTCCAACCATATCGGTTTCATATCGGCCACAACAAAATCCATATCGGTCGGGCTCTAGTCGTGATGGTCTGGTCCCTCGGGTCGTGACGGTCCGGTCCTTCAGGTCGTGACGGTCCGGTCCTTCGGGTCGTGACGGTCCGGTCCCTCGGTTCGTGACGGTCCGGTCCTTCAGGTCGTGACAGTCCGGTCCTTCAGGTCGTGACAGTCCGGTCCTTCAGGTCGTGACAGTCCGGTCCTTCAGGTCGTGACAGTCCGGTCCTTCAGGTCGTGACAGTCCGGTCCCTCAGGTCGTGACAGTCTGGTCCTTCAGGTGTGCCGAGGAGCAGATGGACAGCTTCATGCAGATCTTCTGTGATGATGCGTCTCCGTCTGGAACCGGACCAGAACTCACCGGGGATCTGGACTTTACAAAAACCAAACACAAACTAGCTTAATTTTTGTTTTTAATTTAATAATGTTGAATTTTATTTTATATTCTGATGAAATTCACAGACGACGAGTGAGTTTTACGGCTCATACTTGTGTTTTATCATCGGCTGTTTGTGGATCCACCTGGTCCTGGTTTAGTCCTGGTTTAGTCCTGGTTTAGTCCTGGTTTAGTCCTGCCTTACTCCTGTTTTAATCTTGTTTTAGTGCTGCTTTAATCTTATTTTAGTCCCTGGTTTAGTCCTGGTTTAGTCCTGGTTTACTTCTGATTTAGTCCTGATTTTAGTCCCTGGTTTTAAACATCTTTTAGTCCCGTTTTAGTCTTGTTTTAGTGCTGGTTTTAAACTTGATTTAGTTCTGCTTTAGTCCTGGTTTTAGTCCTAATTTTAGTCCTGTTTTAGTCCCTGTGTTTGTCCTGTTTTAGTCTTGTTTTAGTTCTGTTTTTAGTCTTGGTTTAGTCCTGGTTTTAGTCCCTGTTTTAGTCCCAGTTTAGTCCTGTTATAGTCCTAGTTTTAGTCCTGGTTTAGCCCTGTTTTAGTCCCTGTTTTAGTCCCGGTTTAGTCCTGTTATAGTCCCGGTTTAGTCCTAGTTTTAGTCCTGGTTTAGTCCTGTTTTAGTCCTGGTTTAGACCTGTTTTGGTCCCTGTTTTAGTCCCTGTTTTAGTCCCTGTTTTAGTCCTAGTTTTAGTCCTGGTTTTGTCCTGGTTTAGTCCTGGTTTTAGTCCTGGGCTTGTCCTGTTTTAGTCTTGGTTTAGTCTTGTTTTAGTCCTGTTTCAGTCCTTGTCTTAGTCGTGTTTTAGTCCTGGTTTAGTCCTGGTTTAGTCCTGTCCTTGTTTTAGTCTGTTTTAGTCCTTTTAGTCTTGGTTTAGTCCTGGTTTTAGTCCTGGTTTAGTCCTTGGTTTAGTTTAGTCTTGTTTTAGTCTTGCCTGGTTTAGTCTTGGTTTTAGTCCTGTTTTAGTTTAGTCTTGTTTAGTCTTGGTTTAGTCTTGGTTTAGTCTTGTTTTTAGTCTTTTAGTCTTGGTTTTAGTCTTGTTTTAGTCTTGTTTTAGTCTTGTTTTAGTCTTGGTTTAGTCTTGTTTTAGTCTTGTTTTAGTCTTGTTTAGTCCTGTATTTGTCCCTGATTTTAAATTAGTTTTTGTTCTGTTTTAGTCTCGCTCGTGTGTTTTTTAAAGTTTGTAAAGCGTGCGTTGTTTTTCAGGCTGGTCTTTGGGAGAACACGGGGAATGGGCCAAATACTCGAACTTTGACGTCGCGACGAGAGTCCCGCTCATGTTCTACGTCCCCGGAGTCACCGACAAAAACTCCAGGAAAAACTCCAGGAAAAACTCCAGGAAGTTTCAGTTCATCGACGTGTTTGGACCCACGAAGTCTTTCATCAGTGAGTTTTCAAAATGCTCTTTATCACGACTTTAAACTTTAAACTCTGTTCTCGTGTACTTTCCTCCACACAAACACACCCGCACAACTGCTCCACTTCATGATGTCATCAGGTGGTGTCGTAGGAAGTGCTCCTCCGTTTACCTTTACCTGGTCTGACATGTTGAGACGTATTTATTATGAGGAAATGCACAAGCAGCAAAGCGTTTCTTCACTTTTGAACTGCTGCTCTTTGCATTTGCGTCTCTACAAGAACTTTGGTGTGAGTTTTGTGTTTCATTTAAGACGAATTTATTATTAGTTGTAATTGGGCCCAGTCAAGCAGAAGTAAACAACAAGACCAAAACTTCAAGTTAATGCATCTGATATAAAAATGTATTGAACAGATACATATGTGCTCTAGTTTATCAAACTGTTCACCTTTTTTCTGTTCCATTTTTGGTTCTAAAGTTCCATATGTTTTAAACAGACCATGTATGAAACATGGAACAAAAATTATTTCCCAAATTTCAAAGACCCAAAAATCATGTAAATAAATGGATGTATTTCATCATATCTTGTGTTATTCCATCTTTGAACTGTTGATGAAGGGACAGGATTTAAAAAAAAAAAAATGTATTTAAAATGATAAAAATGTTCTTGGAAGGACTGACATATTTTATAGAAATAGTTTCTTTCATTTTGAAGTAATATTAAAGTATTTGGAAGAAAAAAGCGACAAATGATGTAAAATCCTGCACCTTCTACTTGTTTACACAATTTTCCCTCCGTTACTTTTCCCTCCGTTACCATGAACTTTCTTAATAAAAAATCTCATGAGTCAAAAAGTCAGAGGTTTTTCAACCTAATCTTGTACCATATGGTAGAAAACTATATGAAGCAAATATTCAAACCAGTTTGTTAAGGATATGGAAGTGAGAACCAAGAGTTATCACTGTTTGGATTTATTGATATGTCAGTTGGTCGATATTATCGGTCGATACGGGCACTTGGAGACACATCTGCATTTGGTCTAAATCTTGCTGATCTGGTCCGATCGTCCACGCGGGCAGATTTTACCTCATTATAAAACTTAGACCAGGAGAGTCAAACTCAGATTCACAGGATATTACTGCTACTACTGCTACTACTGCTACTACTGTTACTACTGTTACTACTGCTACTACTGTTACTACTGCTACTACTGCTACTACTACTGGTTACTACTGCTACTACTGCTACTACTGCTACTACTGCTACTACTGCTACTACTGTTACTACTGTTACTACTGCTACTACTGCTACTACTGCTACTACTGTTACTACTGTTACTACTGCTACTACTGCTACTACTGCTACTACTGTTACTACTGCTACTACTGCTACTACTGTTACTACTACTGTACTACTACTGCTAACTACTACTGCTACTACTACTGCTACTACTGCTACTACTGCTACTACTGCTACTACTGCTACTACTGCTACTACTGCTACTACTGCTACTACTGTTACTACAGTTACTGATACTTCTACTTCTACTACAGAGAGAGAAACCCAGAGTGAGTTGTTGCTTTGAGGCTGTTGGTTAAACGGGTTCATTTCCTCTTTAAATCCGTCTGTGTGTTTCTTTGAAGTCGAGTTTAATAAAAATTAAAAACTCCTTTTTACGTCTTTGATGTGAGCGAGACGACTTGAGGAGACGAGGAGACGAGGAGACGAGGAGACGAGGAGACGAGGAGACGCTGCTGTAACCGTGATGAAACCGACATGAAACGGAGCTCTGGGTTTAAAACGGGAGGATGGGGAATGTTCCAGTGAGACGGGGCATCCGGGTCAAAAAGACAATCACAAACATTTTTCCTCCTAGAACCTCCACACAGGACTGTGAAGTAAAGCTGCACTGTGGAACTTTTCATGTGCAGGGATCTGACATCTGCTTGTCTCCATGGAGATGTTATTACTACTACTACTACTACTACTACTACTACTACTACTACTACTACTACTACTACTACTACTACTACTACTACTACTACTACTACTACTACTACTACTACTACTACTTCTACTGCTGCTACAACAACGAGTACAACTACTACTACTACTACTACTACTACTACTATATTGCTGCTAACGATACTACTATTTATACTTATACTTACATTTCTGTTACTACTCCTTCTATTGTCTCCATGGAGATGGGTACAGTATGTTGACATACTGTGCCGTAGTGTGGAACATTCCGACATTCCAGGCGAAGTGATATCATCTCCATGGAGACGAGCAGATGGGAGAAGTTACACGTCGTAACTTTAATACAATTAAATAGTCAAATAATTTCACTTGAGTTGAATACGATTTTGTTCACTGTTAGTAATTCGTTTGTAAAATACTGAAGAAAAAAAAACGAAAATATGAAAACAAACGATTATAATTTGTGTGGTGAACGTGAATGGAGCACTTCTGGATCTGCACCCGGTGATGTCACGAGGTGTTCTGAGCTCTACACTTTATAGATAAATGTGTGAATGAAGCGAAACGTGACTCCAGCTCTGTTTTGTGACGTCAATGATGATGAAGAACGGTGTTGGTGTTTGTGTTTGTGTTTGTAGACGGTCAGGAGTCGGAGAACATGGTGGAGCTGCTGGACATTTTCCCCACGCTCGTTCACTTCAGCGGGTTAAAGGTCCCCAAGCCCTGCCCCGAGGTCTCCTTCCAGGTGTTTACACAAAAACACATGAAAATAAAGGAAACTGAGCCAACATGGCCGACATTAGACACACGTGAGACGGTTAAAGGTCACCAAGCCCCGTCCTGACGTCTAAACCGGGTCTAAACCAGGACTAAACCAGGACTAAACCAGGTCTCGAACAGATCTAAACTAGGACGAAACCAGGTCAAGAACAGGTCTGAAACAGGACTAAACTGGGTCTAAACTAGGTCTAAAACTGGTCTAAACTAGGACTAAATGAGGTCTAAACCAGATCTAAGCTAGGACTAAACCAGGACTGAAACAAGTCTAAACTAGGACTGAAACAGGTCTAAACTAGGACTGAAAACGGGTCTAAACTAGGACTAAAACAGGTTAAACCAAGACTGAAACAGGTCTAAACCAAGACTGAAACAGGTCTAAACTAGGACTGAAACGGGTCTAAACTAGGACTAAAACAGGTCTAAACTAGGACTGAAACAGGTCTAAACTAGGACTGAAATGGGTCTAAACTAGGACTAAAACAGGTCTAAACTAGGACTAAAACAGGTCTAAACCAGGACTAAAACAGGTCTAAACTAGGACTGAAACGGGTCTAAACTAGGACTGAAACGGGTCTAAACTAGGACTAAAACAGGTCTAAAACAAGACTAAACCAGGTCTAAAATTGGTCTAAACCAGGACTAAAACAGGTCTAAACTAGGACTGAAACGGGTCTAAACTAGGACTGAAAAAGGTCTAAACTAGGACTAAAACAGGTCTAAACCAGGACTAAAACAGGTCTAAACTAGGACTAAAACAGGTCTAAACTAGGACTTAAAACAGGTCTAAACTAGGATTAAAACATGTCTAAAACGGGACTAAACCAGGTCTAAAATTGGTCTAAACTAGGACTAAATGAGGTCTAAGCTAGTACTAAACTAGGACTAAACCAGGACTAAACAAGGATTAAACTAGGACTAAAACAGGTCTAAACCAGGTCTAAAATTGGTCTAAACTAGGACTAAACTAGGTCTAAACCAGGTCTAAACCAGGACTGAACTAGTACCAAACCAGGTCTAAACCAGGTCTAAACCAGAACTGAACTAGTACCAAACCAGGTCTAAACCAGGACGGAAACTGCCCTGACATTTCCTTCCAGATATTTACACAAAACGACAACACAAAACAGGAAACAGCTCCAACATGGCCGACATTAGACACTTCTAGAATTTTTTCTTTCCATTTACACAAAACAACATAATAAAAACGGAAACAGACTCAAAATGACCGACATCGGGTCACTTTCTTAATTTAGGTTTTTTATGATTTTTGTATTTTATTGACTTCTTACCTGTAAAAAATTATATTGTAATTTTAAATGTGACCATATAATATTTGAAGTGAATAAAATATTTCACAGTAAATAAAAGTTTGATTGTGTTTTGAGTGAGTGTGTCCTCCCTGCCTGTAGGTGGAGCTGTGCAGAGAAGGACAGAACCGAGCCAACGACTTTTACCACCAAGAAAAAAGAATAAACCGAGAACAGATCGCGTTCAGTCAGTATCCCCGACCCTCCGACACTCCACAGGTACTAAACCAGAACTAAACCAGGTCTAAACCAGGTCTAAACCAGGTCTAAACCAGGTCTAAACCAGGTCTAAACCAGGTCTAAACCAGGACTAAACCAGGTCTAAACCAGGTCTAAACCAGGTCTAAACCAGGTCTAAACTAAACAGGTCTAAACCAGGTCTAAACCAGGTCTAAACCAGGTCTAAACCAAACCAGGTCTAAACCAGGTCTAAACCAGGTCTAAACCAGGACTAAACCAGGTCTAAACCAGGTCTAAACCAGGTCTAAACCAGGTCTAAACCAGGTCTAAACCAGGTCTAAACCAGGTCTAAACCAGGTCTAAACCAGGAAAACAGGACTAAACCAGGACTAAACCAGGTCTAAACCAGGTCTAAACCAGGTCTAAACCAGGTCTAAACCAGGTCTAAACCAGGTCTAAACCAGAACTAAACCAGGTCTAAACCAGGACTAAACCAGGTCTAAACCAGGTCTAAACCAGGTCTAAACCAGGACTAAACCAGGTCTAAACCAGGTCTAAACCAGGTCTAAACCAGACTAAACCAGGTCTAAACCAGGACTAAACCAGGTCTAAACCAGGTCTAAAACCAGGTCTAAACCAGGTCTAAACCAGGTCTAAACCAGGTCTAAACCAGGTCTAAACCAGGTCTAAACCAGGTCTAAACCAGGTCTAAACAGAACTAAACCAGGACTAAACCAGGTCTAAACCAGGTCTAAACCAGGTCTAAACCAGGTCTAAACCAGGTCTAAACCAGGTCTAAACCAGGACTAAACCAGGTCTAAACCAGGTCTAAACCAGTCTAAACCAGGTCTTAACCAGGTCTAAACCAGGACTAAACCAGGACTAAACCAGGACTCACCAGGTCTAAACCAGGTCTAAACCAGGTCTAAACCAAACCAGGTCTAAACCAGGACTAAACCAGGACCTAAACCGGACTAAAACCAGGACTAAACCAGGTCTAAACCAGGTCTAAACCAGGACTAAAACCAGTCTAAACCAGGTCTAAACCAGGACTAAAAACAGGTCTAAACCAGGTCTAAACCAGGACTAAACCAGGTCTAAACCAGGACTAAACCAGGTCAAACCAGGACTAAACCAGGACTAAACCAGGTCTAAACCAGGACTAAACCAGGTCTAAACCAGGACTAAACCAGGTCTAAACCAGGACTAAACCAGCTATAAACCAGGACTAAACCAGGTCTAAACCAGGTTAAACCAGGACTAAACCAGGTCTAAACCAGGACTAAACCAGGTCTAAACCAGGTCTAAAACCAGGACTAAACCAGGACTAAACCAGGTAAACCAGGACTAAACCAGGACTAAACCAGGTAAACCAGGACTAAACCAGGACTAAACCAGGACTAAACCAGGACTAAACCAGGTCTAAACCAGGATTAAACCAGGTCTAAACCAGGACTAAACCAGGACTAAACCAGGACTAAACCAGGACTAAACCAGGACTAAACTAAACCAGGTCTAACCAGGTCTAAACCAACCAGGACTAAACCAGGACTAAACCAGGTCTAAACCAGGTCTAAACCAGTCTAAACCAGGACTAAACCAGGACTAAACCAGGACTAAACCAGGTCTAAACCAGACTAAACCAGGACTAAACCCAGGACTAAACACTAAACAGGACTACCAGGACTAAACCAGGACTAAACCAGGTCTAAACCAGCTAAACCAGGTCTAAACCAGGACTAAACCAGGACTAAACAACAGGACTAAACCAGGTCTAAACCAGAACTAAACCAGGTCTAAACCAGGACTAAAACCAGGTCTAAACCAGGACTAAACAGGATCTAAACCAGGACTAAACCAGGACTAAACCAGGACTAAACCAGACTAAACCAGGACTAAACCCAGGACTAAACCAGGACTAAACCAGGACTAAACCAGGACTAAACCCAGGTCTAAACCAGGACTAAACCAGGTCTAAACCAGGTCTAAACCAGGACCAGGACTAAACCAGGACTAAACCAGGTCTAAACCAGGACTAAACCAGGTCTAAACCAGGTCTAAAACCAGACTAAAGTCTAAACCAGGTCTAAACCAACCAGGAAACCAGGACTAAACCAGGGACTAAACCAGGTCTAAACCAGGTAAACCAGAAACCAGGTCTAAACCAGGACTAAACCAGGACTAAACCAGGACTAAACCAGGACTAAACCAGGTCTAAACCAGGACTAAACCAGGTCTAAACCAGGTACTAAACCAGGAAACCAGGTCCAGGTCTAAAACCAGGTCTAAACCAGGTCTAAACCAGGACTAAACCAGGACTAAACCAGGTACTAAACCAGGTACTAAACCAGGTACTAAACCAGGTTAAACCAAAACCAGGTAAAACCAGACTAAACCAGGACTAAACCAGGTACTAAACCAGGTCTAAACCAGGACTAAACCAGGACTAAACCAGGTCTAAACCAGGACTAAACCAGGACTAAACAGGTCTAAACCAGGACTAAACCAGGACTAAACCAGGTCTAAACCAGGACTAAACCAGGTCTAAACCAGGACTAAACCAGGACTAAAACCAGACTAAACCAGGACTAAACCAGGTCTAAACCAGGACTAAACCAGGTCTAAACCAGGACTAAACCAGGACTAACCAGGTCTAAACCAGGACTAAACCAGGACTAAACCAGGTCTAAACCAGACTAAACAGGACTAAACCAGGTAAACCAGGACTAAAACCAGGACTAAACCAGGACTAAACCAGGACTAAACCAGACTAACCAACTAAACCAGGTACTAAACCAGGACTAAACAGACTAAACCAGGTCTAAACCAGGACTAAACAGGTAAACCAGGTCTAAACTAAACCAGGACTAAACCAGGTCTAAACCAGGACTAAACCAGGACTAAACAGGAACTAAACCAGGACTAAACCAGGACTAAACCAGGACTCTAAACCAGGATAAACTAAACTAAACCAGGTCTAAACCAGGACTAAACCAGGACTAAACCAGGTAAACCAGGTAAACCAGGACTACCAGGTCTAAACCAGGACTAAACCCAGGTCTAAACCAGGACTAACAGGTCTAAACCAGGACTAAACCAGGTCTAACCAGGACTAAACCAGGGACTAAACCAGGTCTAACCAGGTCAGGTCTAAACCAGGACTAAACCAGGTTAAACCAAAGGTCTAAACCAGGACTAAACCAGGACTAACAGGACTAAACCAGGACTAAACCAGGTCTAAACCAGTACTAAACCAGGACTAAACCAGGACTAAACCAGGTCTAAACCAGGTCTAAAAACCAGGTCTAAACCAGGCTAAACCAGGAAACTAAACCAGACTAAACCAGGTACTAAACCAGGACTAAACCAGGTCTAAACCAGGTTAACCAGGTCTAAACCAGGACTAAACAGGTCTAAACCAGGTTTAAACCAGGACTAAAATAGGACTAAACCAGGTCTGAACCAGGTCTAAAATGGAACTAAACCTGGTCGAAACAGACTAAACAAGGACTAAACCAGGACTAAACCAGGACTAAACCACGTCTGTAACCAGGTCTAAACCAGGACTAAAACAAGACTAAACCAGGACTAAACCTAAACCAAGGTCTAAACCAGGTCTAAACCAGGTCTAAACCAGGTCTAAAACAGGGTAAAAGGTCTAAACCAGGACTAAACCAGGACTAAACCAGGACTAAACCAGGTCTAAACCAGGTCTTAAACCCAGGTCTACTAAACCAGGTCTAAACCAGGTCTAAACCAGGTAAACTAAACCAGGACTAAAACAGGTCTAAACCAGGTCTTAAACCAGGACTAAACCAGTCTAAACCAGGTCTAACCAGGTCTAAACCAGGTCTAAACCCAGGACTAAACCAGGACTAAACCACGTCTAAACCAGGTCTAAACCAGGTCTCTAAACCAGTAAACCAGGACTAAACCAGGATAAACCAGGTAAACTAAACCAGGTCTAAACCAGGTCTAAACCAGTAAACAGGTAAACCAGGTCTAAACCAGGTCTAAACCAGGTGTAACCGTGTGTGTTTTGCGTCAGTTGAACTCAGATCTTCCAGACTTGGGTGACGTCAGGGTGATGGGATACTCCATGCGGTCGTGGGATTACAGATACACGCTGTGGCTCGGCTTCGACCCCAAAACCTTCCAGGTGAGACGCACTTTCACATTTAAATCAAAAACTTCATCAAAAAACACACGAAAAAAAAAACAGAACTAATATTGTGTTTAAATCTGATAATTAAACGGTCCAGTACACACACACGGTGGGAGGGCATCTGACGCAGTTGGTTCGTTCTGTCGTTCTGTCGTTCTGTCGTTCTGTCGTTCTGTCGTTCTGTCTTCTTTTGTTCTTTTGTGTCAGACTGGGAGCAGAGTTGTTTTCACACAGTCCTCATTTGTATTCAGACAATGTTTTGGGAAACGTCTGCGCTGACACGACATCCATCTACTCCTCCTCCTCCTCCTCTCTCTCCATCTCCCTCCATCTCTCTCCCTCTATCTCCCTCTATCCTCCATCTCCCTCCATCTCCCTCCATCTCCCTCTATCTCCCTCTATCTCCCTCTATCTCTCTCCATCTCTCTCCATCTCCCTCCATCTCCCTCTATCTCCCTCTATCTCCCTCCATCTCTCTCCATCTCTCTCTATCTCTCTCATCTCCCTCCATCTCTCTCCTCCTCTCTCCTCCTCCTCCATCTCTCTCCTCCTCTCTCCTCCTCTCTCCATCTCTCTCCATCTCTCTCTATCTCTCTCATCTCCCTCCATCTCTCTCCTCCTCTCTCCTCCTCTCTCCATCTCTCTCCATCTCTCTCTATCTCTCTCATCTCCCTCCATCTCTCTCTCTCTCTCCATCTCTCTCCTCTCCTCCATCTCTCTCCTCCTCTCTCCTCCTCTCTCCATCTCTCTCCATCTCTCTCCATCTCTCTCCTCCTCTCTCCTCCTCCTCCATCTCTCTCCATCTCCCTCCATCTCCCTCCATCTCTCTCCATCTCTCTCCATCTCTCTCCATCTCTCTCCATCTCTCTCCATCTCCCTCCATCTCCCTCCATCTCTCTCCATCTCTCTCCATCTCTCTCCATCTCTCTCTCTCTCTCTCCATCTCTCTCCATCTCTCTCCATCTCTTTATCACCTTGCACTCGTCTCTCTCTCTCCCTCCACCTCTCTGTGTTTTTTATTTCTCTCTCCTTCCCTCTCTCTATTTATGTCTCCTTCTTTATGGCCTCCTCTCTGTTTCTCTCTCTCTATCCCTCTCTGTTCTCTCTCCCTCTGTTTCTCTCTATCTCTCTCTCTGTTTCTCCCTCTCTCTCTCTCTCTCCTCCCTCTTTTTCTCTCTCTATCTCCTCTCTCTCTCTGTTTCTCTCTGTCTCCTCTCTCTCTGTTTCTCCTCTCTCTATTCCTCTCTCTCTGTTTCTCTCTATCTCTGTTTCTTTTTTCTCTCTCTCTCTCTCTCTCCTCTCTGTTTCTCTCTCTGTTTCTCTCTCTCTCTATTCTCTCTCTCTCCTCTCTCTCCTCTCTTTCTCTCTCTCTCTCTCTGTTTCTCTCTCTCTCTGTTTCTCTCTATCTCCTCTCTCTCTCTGTTCTCTCTCTCTCTATCCCATCTCTCTCTCTGTTTCTCTCTATCTCTGTTTCTCTCTCTCTCTATCCCATCTCTTTCCATCTCTTTCTCTCTGTTTCTGTATCTCCTGTTTCTCTCTATCTCCTCTCTCTTCTTTCTCTCTCCTCCCTCTCTCCCACATCTTTCTCCTTCTTTTCTCTCTCTCTCTATCTCCTCTCTCTCTCTGTTTCTCTCTCTCTCTCTATCTCCTCTCTCTGTTTCTCTCTATCTCTGTTCTTTTTTTCTCTCTCCTCTTCTCCCATCTCTCTCTCTGTTTCTATCTCCTCTCTCTCCCTCTCTCTCTATTCCATCTCTCTCTCCTCTCTCTCTGTTCCTCTCTCTCTCTCTCTGTTTCTCTCTCTCTATTCCATCTCTCTCTGTTTCTCTCTATCTCCTCTCTCTCTGTTTCTCTCTCTTTCTCTATCTCCTCTCTCTGTTTCTCTCTCTCTGTTTCTTTTTTCTCTCTCTCTATCCCATCTCTCGCTCTGTTTCTCTCTCTCTATCCCATCTCTTTCCATCTCTTTCTCTCTGTTTCTGTATCTCCTGTTTCTCTCTATCTCCTCTCTCTGTTTCTATCTCCTCTCTCTCTCCTCCCTCTCCCACATCTTTCTCCTTCTTTTCTCTCTCTCTATCTCCTCTCTCTCTCTGTTTCTTCTCTCTCTCTCTGTTTCTCTCTTTCTCTATCTCCT